TGGTTTTGATATTTTTAGGATTGCAGTTTTCAAGTTTTTCATATAAATGTTTTGTTTACGGAAAGATATCGAAGGTTGATAAATATTAATTTCGAAAGTAATTTCGTGTTTCCTGAATGTACTAGTTTTTTGTCTAGACATTAAGGAATGAAGAGTTAATTTACCAAACGGAAATGTGAGAGGAAATGGGAATCTGTCAGAACTTTCCCGTTAAACAAACCCGAACTAGATTACAACTATTGACGGACAAGTCCAAATATTATTCTAAGTAATGTTGCTCGAACTATTTCTCAATTTCCATTACCTTATTTGAAATCGTCAATAGTACTTCCTATTGATAAAAAATGTCAAGAAGGTCACGTCTAAGAGTCTCCATCAATCAAAGAGACAGGTTCTTGGTCAAAGCACAACATGCCACGAGCGAGCCAACAATACCAAATGATCTATTGAATTAAAAACAACAATATATCATTATAAAGATTATTGATAAACTTGACTTGCTATGAATCCTATTGTTTCTGATTCAGACATGAGTATTTGCGACGTAAATTGAGATGAAGTTTCTCATCAGCTGAATATTGATATGACTTCTGAGTTAAAACAACAAATATGTTTCTTTAAATCTACGATTCACAATGGGATGTTCTAGACAATTTTATAGAAGACTAAAAATCTTCATAACAAAGTTTAAATGACTAGCTTTATGATCTAGATGACCTTATCAACAAAAACAAATAACAAAATGTAATGATGAGGTAACAATATTAAAGGCAGATGATTTTTCTTTATCTTGAGAGGTTCTGTACTTGTTCAGTTAAACTTTAATTAAAACGATTTCCATCAAGAATGCTCGGCTACACGTCAAGCTACGCAATTCCAGTATAAACTGACCGGCGAATGTGTGGACAAATCATACAACGGAAGACCATGACAAACATAACATGTATGAACATCGGAAGATAATTAATGTGTCAAATTTTAATAACTTCCTCAAAGGGACGTCCTTATAGACATTGGACGCTATTGGAATAAAAATGAAAAAAAATGCTTGAGCAGTCATGAAAAATGTTCCTAGTCGTGAAGGATTTAAAGCTCTTTTTTGAAAAATCCTGTCCATGCATAGTTGCCTTAGATATGATGATTTTGTATAAATACTAATTTGTCCGCTTCAATTTGTCTTGATGTGATATTGAAATTCTTTTATATTCCAAACAAGGTAAGTCTGATTGATTTACACTTCACCTTTATTTGCAGACAGATAATAATTTTATTCTGCTTTATGACAAGCATTCAATAAATATTGCTCAATAATGTCAACATAGCAATAAAAATAATCAAAGATGGCGACATATTATAAAAAGTTAACAATAGGAAGCTTCAAAACTATTAAATTAATAAACGTAATGTTAATTTAAATTATGGGTAAACTTTTCATTTCTTCTACTCGATACATTAAAGCCACTGTCTCATTCATCAATCACATAATCCAGTCATTTTTTCTTACCTACACGTCTACCCAATCATTCATCATCATTATTTGTCACATTTTCATTCCTTCTTATAAAAATTACTCTAAAACTCAAAGTAGTATTTCTTTACTTATATTCTCAGTCAGTAGCGCCACCATAAACCACCTAACACAATAAAAATGCCGTAAACAAAACAATAACAATAAAACTTAAAACAATATAAAATTATAAAACACACACGAGCATAGATGAATCACCGAATACGGAAAATTATGATCAACTAATCACGATGCTGTTCCAAGGCGAAGGCTTGATCCGCATTGATCATATATGGTGATAACCAGCTACCTGTCGCATTGCAAGGCTCCGATGCTTGATATAAGGCAATGTCACGGTCTTCTAAATTATTTTTATTATCTCCTAAGCTCCTATGTACAAGTGCATTACAGTCTAGATCATAATTCGTGCCTTCATGGTTAAATAAATGATTTGAATCATTTCGTTGTTCATTATTTCCGCGTCATGTTTTTAGATCATCAGCTCGTAATGAGATTAAATTGTTACTCAACTGCAGTACAGGAAATGTACGAAGGACTTTTAAGATCATTAGAAACTCCAAAATCTTGATCGTTGAAATGGGAGGTTGGTAACTTTTATGTATTCAGTGTAAACTACTCATAATTATTCTAAGCACACATCAAATTGTTGAAGAAATGATTCCGTGACTTGTTTAACAAGCATACACGCTCTCTTGAGCATAAACAAACATACTTAGCGTGAGATTACACGGAAAAGTTCACTCAACGGAGGAGACTAATTGATAGCGACGAAAACATTTCCCCTCGTCCGGAATTCTTTAAAACAAAAGTATCGATAAACTTGTAAACAAACAAGATTGATAGCAGTCAAAGACCGGACGCAAGGGTACAAGAGATGAAAATAAAAACATTTAATTTACGATTATTTCATTCTTTCCATCCATCAACATAATAATGATCCTCATCGCGTCACATTAAAACATTTTTTTCTTCCGTATTTACGCCTTTTAGGGTAATCAAAGTCGTAAATCTCACTCGATAGTGTGAATTTTTATATGAGTCAGTCACCCCTGGTTGGCAGGCGTGTGACCTTGAGCGTCGTACACTCGGCCTCGACTGGCGCAGGGCGGCGCGCTCCAGCCCTTATATGGTAGATCTCGCGCCTGCGCACTCAACACAACATGGCGCTTCCACGTCACGTGGTACATTGCATCTAAATTTTCGCATTAATTGACTCTGAGTAGGAAATTGTTTACGTTGTTTATGTCTCCTTGAGTTTCGAGTAAATTCTTTGCTTACTACGTGCATACGTGCATGTCTTTATAATATTTACCAAATTAGGTGTTGTAATAAAATCGGATGTTTTCCTGTAGTTGTACGCGAATGGTGTTATCTAAGGACTTTATTTATTGAAAGGGATATGGAAGAAATAATAAAAATGTCTAAATACGGCCCTGTGCGCCCATAAACGACCTTTTATTTGGTTGTCAATGCGACAACCATTTACTACATTTTTAACACTTATGCAGGCTTCATAGGTAATTTAATTATCAGAAGTTATTAAAACCAAATGAAACTACACTCCATGTCACCAAAAATTACTCAAAACTATGAACCCGAGTAGCCTTAACCCTATCTCCAAATTTCGACAAAATCTCACGCTAACTAGACCAAAAGAAACGGTGTAACATGCCATGGGAGAAAAATAACTTATGAATGCTCATTTTAAAGTTACAAATAGTATTATAATATAACATCTGGACCGTAAATGTTTCAAAAAGAGGCATTACTGAGTAATACTCAGTATTACTCAGTAATTTGTACATTGTAAACTTTGTATGGCGTATAATTACGCTATTGTTTGTGGGTGCAGGGTAATGACCTCGGTATTCAAAGTTTTAAACGTATTATTATTTCGACCGATTTTAAAATGGAAATGGAAATTAATTTTGACGTTTAAAAATGGGAACTTTTTAATAATTCCTCATTAATAAAAGTTCAATAGTACATTTTTTTATTTATTATTTTCTTAGAATTAAATAAAGGTAAAATTACATCAGCCTGATCTTACTTATGAACTTTAAATTATGAAATAGTAGACGTAGAATTGCTTTAAGCTGTGAATATTTCTAGCAAAATAATTATTAGATATGTTTTACAATATGCCTACAATTATTTAAATTATTCTTGCATAATTTTACTAATTTGTATTCATTACTAATTTATTCAAGTATTGATCTTTAGAACACCAACAGATGTTGTAAACATTTTAAAATTCTAATAAAATTATAAATAACCACAAATATCAATCAAAATAACATAAAAAATACTACAAAAGTTAAATAAAGAAACAAAAAGAATCTGCGATGGCCGGGAATCGAACCCGGATCAACTGCTTGGAAGGCAACTATGCTGACCATTACACCACCATCGCAGCTGTAAGACGAGTCGAAATACGTCTATGCTATCGGCGTAACACAACAGTAAAGTGACGTCATTCTGTTGATAATTTTAGTCCCGTTATTGTAAACTAGTTTTTTTTAATCATTTGAATGATATAATATCGGATTTTATTATCATGAAGAATATTTTATCATCTTTATATTACTTATCGGGCACAAAACTTCGCTTTTTTTATTCGAAAACTCGTCTTTGGGCTGTAACCTCATTGATTTAATTTTGTTTTTAAATTAGACACTAGGTGGCACTACTAGTACAATGAGATGAATCACAGACTATATCTATGAGTCAAAAAATGTCCTAAAACATTTCATACAAGTATAGAACCTAAGGTGTAGGTTCGAATACAACCACAATACATTTAAAAACCATGAAACTAGTCTTTCAAAGATTAGCAGAGAGTATGTTAACATTAAGTACCTTACAAGGCGGGTACATAAACATGAGATGCGCGCGCAGACTATTGTCGCACAATCACTTTGTAAATCGCCGCCGGCCGGGTCGTGATCTCTGATTTGTGGGGTAACCATGTATTCTGGGGTAGGGAACACTGGATTATAGTGGTATAGTGGTTGACTGTTGTGCCGCCGTAAGTTTGTGAGGGTCTTTTTAGTGGAATAGGGCAATTAACACATCGCCTGATGAGCGACGCCCATAGATATCCATAACATTTATTTATTTATCATTTCATGTACCTACACCACACAGACAATATTACAAAGGACAACACATTATAAGCATGAGGTACATAGGTACTGCATATCCCTCAAGGGATTTCTTCCTGCAGACCTGCGACAGGGAAAGGAATTTAAATATAAGACAATATTGTGGGAGTTGTTGCTGGCTTTTTCCGGGAAATATTGGTAGGAATTATACTTATATTCCCCCAAAAGTGCACATGACACGATCATTTCTAAAAGAATCTAAGTACATTTTAGAATGTTATTTCTATCGACAGCCATAAAAAAAATATTTGTCCGTAACAATAAAAGATGTGAGTCATTTCTCTCCATTTCTCCAATCCCATGGTCACCTTACGAAATCGCGCGGCACCGTTTGTCGCGATAAACTCGCGACCCGCGGTAATTGCAGCGGAGGACGCGAGTGCAGGGCGCGGCGCGGCGCAGCACGACACCGCGCGTTCCCACGACATTGTTACATTACATGTTACAATAACGACGGAAATGTAACATCTTGTTACAAGTTTAAAAGGAAATAGATTAAGTATAGATACGTATAGTTTTGTATTGGCGTGTTGGCAGAGTGGGATGAAGTTGTTACGTCTAACACTCTTACCGCGGGTGTTCTAAAAAATGATTAACTCGTTGTTTACCGTCATTATAGACACAATTAAAGAACAATAGGTTGCGGTCACCGGTGACCGCTTGGTGTTTGACAGTTTAAATTGTGATTTCTAACCCAGCTTCAAAGACTAAAGATTATAGCTTCATAACATCACTGGCCCAGCTGTAGACTATTGCAAGCTGTAGATGATCATTTTGCAAGAATCGATAGCGAAGGTCTCGATAAATATATATATATAATAAGCCTTTTTTTTAAGGGGGGAAAATCATCGAATGACTGCTCCCGCCTGGGTGAGGCGGAAGGGAGTGTCTGACTCTTACTGACTAAAAACCACCCCGTTCCTTCTCCTGCACGTCGAGCCGGAGCCCCGGTTACCCGTTAGGTTCTCCGCGACATATAATAAGCCTAGTGTTGTTACAAAAAACCTGACAAAATATTATAGCTATAGATAATCGTAAGCACACTTTTATCTAAGTACTCATCTGAACCGTCTACGTAAAGACAGTAAACAGCCAGTAGCAGCGCGACAGTCGCCGCGTCGCGGGTCGCGGAATGCTGCTCATGAATATGAGCCTCTAGCATGGCTTGAAACTAGTCGAGTTCCTCATCAAAAAGTTACATGAGTAAGCCGAAAACATAATAAATAAATTATTCTACATAAATATTTCTGTTCACTTATTTATAAGTAAACTAATTAATTCAATCAAGTGGGTGTCAGTCAGTACTGTCTATTGGTCAAAGCACACTTTCAGTAACATAATATCTCAGATCAACCTCCATAAACTTCACACCGGTAAATTAAGCAACTATCACTATTTCGCGACAAATATATCAACTTGTTCTTAAAATGCCTCAGCCGAGCACCGAATGCCGACACCCACACGTTGTTTAGTAAACAATTTTGCGTAATTTTCGCCTGTCCAAGTATCAGTACTAGTTTGTGAAGGGAGTCAGGGCTGGTAGAATCTAAGTACTTGATAAATGTAACAATAATGGTTTCCCAATTAGGACTACTGCACATGATTTTTTTACTTAGGGCGCTTATGAGAGATACGGTATTGTACACTTTGGAACAAGCGCCTAGCTTCACTGACATAAAGACGGACGGAGTTCTAGAGTAAATTTTTGACAGTAGGTACAGTGATTGTTGAACAGTATCTTAAGCTACGTAAGCGCCATCTGCTAAGTGTAAAATGACAATTCCACAGATTACGTGAATCAAACAGGAACAAATCAAATAGTACAACCTTTTATTGGCAATGAAACTTTTAGGCAGCTATAAGCCAAAGCGGTACTGTAAGTCCATAATATGTTAAAATGAAAATTAAATTAACAAATAAATTTAAATAAACAAATTAAAGTTTGCAAAAATTAAAATTAACTAAGTAAAATGGTTTGGCAACCCTATGATACCGAATGTTACATTTCGTATCTAGCTCATTTACTTTGTGAAAAACTAGTGGTCAAATACTTGAATGAATATTGAGTAATTTTGAAATATTAGCGACGCGAATTGACAATCGACTTAGGTTGGGGTCCCGCTACAAGTAAGAAACTATAGGAAGTCACTTCAAATTATATTGTCTCAAGGTTTATAGTGTTTGTGTAATGTACCTATGATTGAAAATACCTACTTGTAAAGGGTAATGTGACAGAATAGCAATTAATCTATAATTGATGTATAAGAAGGTATCAGAAAACCAAGCCGCCTAGAACTAAAATTTCTTACAGATTTTACATTGTACATAGTACAATATAACTAAAAATCTAAGTACCTACAAATAGAGCTTCGAAAACTTGATTAGTACTACAACTAAATCTCCACATATCCACCGAATATTAGGTACTTCAAAAACCGCTGACAGAGACACCGTACCCTAACATTCCTTGACCACCGACCTACTTGTATGACAAAAGAAGGAAGCGGGTAGTTGTCGTCAACTGTCAACCATTGTTCGGACACCCTGTGCGTAACAACGGATGGTGTCGTAACGTAACCATGGCAACCATTAGTTAGTTATGCTCTGCGGATTCGGATAAGATACTGCTATTATATTAAGTAATTTTTTGCGAAGAAGGTCGGTAAGTAATTGTGGCTTGAAGGAAATATTTAGGTGGATGTGTCATAGGATACTGTTAAGCGAAGGAAACTACCTATTTATATGGTTTTCCAGTAAGGTATTTTTTTTTTTGAAAAATACAGATATTTGACAATATTATGTGTTTTTCTGTATTTATATGAACTGCCTCGTTGGCCGAATGGTCGCAAGTGCGACTGCCGGGCAAGGGGTCTCGGGTTCTATTCCCGGGTTGGGCAAACTATTAATGGGTTTTTAAAAAAAAAATCTTAGTAGTAGTACGGAGTTTAGAATTATTCCCGGTATATGGAAATAGACTCACCCCCTATTACATGGGACTCATAACATAAATAGTGAAAAGTGGGTGTTACATTGTACAGTGGCATAATGTGCACCTATGCCTACCCCTTCGGGGATAAAAGGTTTCGTGCTATTTTTTTTTAAACCTGGTAATGCTTTGCCCGGCCCGTGATTCGAACCCGAGACCCCTTGCCCGGCAGTCGCACTTGCGACCACTCGGCCAACGAACCAGTCTATAGATAAAAGTAAGCAGTAGTTTTCCAAGTGTGTATCTGCTAGCTTTATTTGAGGGTAGAAAATCATCCAATGACTTCTCCCGCCTGGATGGGGCGAGAAGGAGTGTCAGGCTCTTACTGACAAAAAACCACCGCGTTACGAATCCTGCTTTGAACCAGAGCTCTGGTGCTCTGAATATGCTAGGCTATCCTCTAACTGTCAATTTGAAATTTCGAAGTGAGCTCGATCGCTTGCATTCTCGCCGTTCATTGGTAGAGATCATTCGCACAGCCAATGACATTGTGAACCGCGATCGAGCTCATTTTGATCTTTCGAATTGAAAGTTACAAAATAAATTATATTAAATGAAATTGTTCCAAAATTGTTCACTTCCTTATAGATTTCAGTCGGATGTTTTTAAATCTAGAATTACTCACTTAATAATCTGAAGTATTGACGTAATGATGACGTCACACGCCTTGAGCATCATGCGGGCATCGTTATTAAGATAACGTATTATAAGTAAAGTGCTTCAATATAAATTGTTTCATACAATAATAATGTTATTTTATTAAGTTACAATTAAGTTAAATCAATATTTTATTGCGCAGTGATCGTTTGTATCCTTGTTGATATAATGGAAGGTTCCTACTTAAACCAAATGTCTTGATAATGAATTTATTTGAGTACAGTACTTAAGTAACTATAGTAAGAGTTTTTTTTTAAGGGGGGGAAATCATCGAATCATTGCTCCCGCCTGGGTGAGGTGGGAGGGAGTGTCAGACTCTTACTGACTAAAAACCACCCCGTTCCTTCTCCTGCACGTCGAGCCGGAACCCCGGTTACCCGTTAGGTTCTCCGCGACACTATAGTAAGAGTAGGTACACCAGTATTAACTATATAGTGTACGATTAGAGACTACATTAGTTAACTATAAATATTTTTTTAAATCTTTCACCGGTCTATTTCCTACTTTTAAGGTTCGGCACTGTATCTATTATCCTTAGACTGAAAGTTAGCATCTTACATTGAGCGTCTGATTTTTATAATCCGCCATTTATTATAACCTACTAAAGGTCCTTTCAATCATCAGTTAATTCTTAACCGTACAATAAAATTGATACAATACATAAGGACCGATTTTTTCAACTCACCCGCGACTTCGCTCGCGTCACAAAAGGATAAAAAGTAGCTTGTGTGACATATACCAATACACACAGCGCCATCTATACCAATAATTTCATTTTCCCTCGAGAATATCAAATTTTTCCGGGATAAAAAGTACCCTATTATTTAATCCAGACTTCTAACTTTACGTCTGCAAAAATTCAAAGCAGTAGTAAGTTAGTAGTTACGGCGTGAAAGCGGAACAAACAAACAAACTCACTTTCTGATTTGTAATATTATATTATATATAGTAAGGATAAGGATTAACGAATAACTTTGTAGGTATATTCGACAATTCTTCTTCTAACATAAACTTCTTATAGATATACTTGATCATGGAACTCGGAGACAAATAGCCAAATTGATGACCATGATATCAAATAATAGCACTTCTAAAAACTTCGTAACACAAAAAGTACCTAAACATTGAAGGATCCTGTACCTATTGCCTTCTAAAACAAAATTAATCGATGTTACATCAGATCGATATCTCGATGATTGTACAAATCGATTCCTTAATCGATACTAGAGGTCGTATTAGTCACTACGAGTAAACAACGTTGTGTATTTGTATGTATGTTTGTTTGTGTGTGAAAAAGTCATTGTTTTCAAATGCTCTACTCTTTTGTTATGTAGAAAATATGCAATATTGTTTTAAAACATCTGACTGGTAATAAACAATAGGAAATACCTACTTAACAATGTTTTTTATGACGTAGAGTTTTTCATTTATACATTTACTAACTTTTACCCGCGGCTTCGCTCGCGTCACAAAAGGATAAAAAGTAGCCATATACTGTGTGACATATACCCATATACACAGCGCCATCTATACCAATACTTTTGTTTTCCCTCGGGAATATAAATTTTTTCCGGGTTAAAAAGTACCCTATTATTTAATCCGGACTTCTAACTTTACGTCTGCAAAAATTCAAAGCAATCGGTTGAGTAGTTACGGCGTGAAGGTGGAACAAACAAACAAACTCACTTTCAGATTTATAATATTAGTAAGGATTTATTTAAACGTGATTGTTTCATTATTCACGAATTCCCATTAAGATGTAATTGTCTGGAATTGTGCCCGGTA